TAGGCCGAAGTAACTGACCAATCCCTAATTCACACATGATTAAAGAGCACATATATATCTTCTGTAGTTATTTACACATACCTACAAAGCACAGGTTTTCTTTCAGCTGATAAAGGAACTTCTGTCTTTGTTGTACAATGCAGTGATAAAGTTAGATAATTTGGAATCCTTATATTCTGTGCTAATTTGGTGTTTTTCAAAGTGGACAAGTTGTAGCTGTATCTCTTCAAATGTAATATCAATATTCTGTAAGATGAATTGTTTTGATCACATTAATGAATCTGTAATCATACCATATGATGTTTATTTCCCACCTATTGTTTTACCAGTAATACTGTGGACGTGTGAATGAAAAGAACACCTAATTACCAACATGGTCAGCAAACTTGCCTGTGCTGATTCAAACTGGCGTCTGGCTCGTTATCAGATTAGCCCATGCCATTTTTAATAGGAGGCCAAGATACTTTTAGAAAGGAGCATGATCGATATATGAATTTTCCATAATAATTGTTGTCGTCGTTGTAATTGTACTTTATAATTTATTACATTTAAAAAAGGCAAAATGAGAAAAAATATGAAAATCTAGCATAAAGTAATGACTTGAGATTGTAACATTGCCTCCTTTTGAGATTGAGGTGGCCCAAAGTGTTTCAAATTCAAAACTACCTCCAGACATCAATACAGGCGATTCGTTGGCAAGTTTACTGACGATATTGGTAATTAAGTGTTCCTTTCATTCACACATCCACAGGAAGAATCGACTACGACACAACTTGATGGGGGGGGGGGGTAACAGTATGCAACCTAAGAAACTATGACATGCCATTGATGCACAGAGATTTGCTGTGCGGCAACGAGTTATGCTAATTCACTGATATGTCATTGACGCAACAGGAAATCATACACTGATATAGTGTTCTTGGGGAAAAATCCAACAATAGTTATGAAATTTGTAATTTGGTATAATGAAACTTACATTTCATAATCAAAATTAGTGTAAAAACTAAGAAAATCAGGGGCTGCAACATTTTTGTTTATACCTCAAGTCACCTATACAGCCATCTACAATTTTATTTTATTTTATTTCTGAAGACCGACCTCCCGAGCAGTCAACAATCTGACTCAATTTTAAGGGATCATCCCTCTCTCTCTCTTTGACATATTATGCCAATGACGTCTTTCCAATGCAGGGAGCCATTTTGGGCAATATTCTTCTCCAGCTGCTAGGGTGTCATCTTTATTACCTGGAATATTTTACCCCTATGAATTTCTAGGTTACTGTTTTTAAAGCCAATTTCTTTCAATGATCAATGAATCAATGATAACTTTCGCATTTTGCTTTGACAAGATAAGGAAAAAAGAATGCTTTTTGACAGATTAGTGGATTTGTTGAATATTTACTAGTAGCACCTTGTTCTCGATTTGCGGTGGCGCTGATTCGCAGGTATGTTAAAATAGATTTCACAGTTAAAACATTGGAACTAAGGTCATACGAGTTTGATTTGTAATCAAGACATTTGAGGTTTTTGAATTGCTGTCAAGAACACTGTTAGTCAGAACTCTCCATTTGGGGGGGGGCAGTTTATAATCAGAATGCAGTTAATAAGATTTTAAAGGTAATCTGAAAAATTGACTTATAAGACAAGAGTATTGAAGTGCATATTGCAAGATAATCAGTGTCATAATCATTGGACATTTTCATGAATTTCATGAATTTTTCGTTTTTGAATATAACGTATATATCCGGGTATAAGCCCAGGATCCTGAACATAGAAAATTGTCAAAAAACACGCAGATTGAACTGCGGCAGGGAATAGAACGGCAAATGAAAACATGCAACAGAAATAAATTAACAATATGCAACATTAGAAGTAAAACAAAACTAATGTATTGCTTACAATGTGACAAATAAACCAGAAATAATAAAAATCGACAGTGAGGAATCATATGAATCAGGATTTTCCCGCCGACAAACACGCCCAATACGCGTGAACTCAAAAAGAATTAAAATGTCAGGGGTTAAACTAAGGGGTTAAAGAGACAAGAAAAATGGGGTCGCTCTGCTGCGATGGCACACGATGCTTTTGTTTACAGTCTAGCAATCATCTTTGACTTTTATGCATTTGCTTTACTACTTGGCTAAGAATGACATCACTACTAGTATTTCATCATGAAGGTCAAATCGTGACATTGCTTTCTTATCAGACTCAACGCTTATCACAATCACAGTGAAAGTTATCATTCAGCAAGTTCCAGCGGTTGGAATATCTGTGGGCTTGAAATAGGAAGTTAATTTTTTTATCCAACGATAGAAGAATAGTTTTCTTGACAGAAATGCAAGAGCGGTGATGAAAGATGGTTAAAAAGTTCTTCGGCGTGACATTGCAAAATTGCTGGCACCAGTTATGGATTCTCAAGCTGCTACCAAATATTTTATAAAGCCAAAATAACGTGATTTCAACCACTCTTCCAGGTACATGTTGCTACAATATTGCAACATTGGTTTCATTGTCGACGACACTAAAGTCGAACGAGTGACATTATATATATATATATTTTTAAAGACTTGCTGACTGTTATGATTCTGAAAAAAAACAATCTTGAAAAATAAATGTAAATCAATTATATTTAAAGAATTTTTATAAGAAAGTCAAGTTAATACAACCACAATCAGCAAATAGAAAATAGTTTTTTGTGTAGAAAAAGACCCCCTGGGTGTGTGCCCGGATATAACGTCAACTTCTTTATTATGTCAAAAGTGGTGGGTGAGCGTTTGCTCCAGCATGGGCTCTTACCTGGATAAGTGAGATAATGATAATTCCAAGCATCAAATGCATGCATTAATGCTACTGGTTAGAAGTGCAAGATGACTTTGATCTTCATCTCATAATACGCCACATATATTTATGCATTCAGGGGGAAACGAGGCTGCTACAAAGTATGGGCAATTAAAGGATCAACCATATGCATGTTACCATAGTGATAAACTGTGATCTCTGACCTACCTTGGTAACCGAGTAAACTTATGTGTGACAGTAGCTTGTCTGTAATGGCATTCACTGCAATCATATTCAATTTTCTCATCCCTGAAGAATTGGTCGATGGTATACTGAATGGATTTGATTTCACTCGCATCTCTGGAGAACAAGACATTGTAAATGATGAGATCATGATTTTACATGTTGATGAGTAATGAATGGTTTTATTGTATAGCGCCCCCTGGAGGGTGATAGTGAAAGCTAATTTTGTTTATTGTTATTTTGGTACTTATGCATCAAGCATTTAATTATTCGTTATTTCCACATTTTATTTGTGCTATTGCAATAGTTCCAAGTCATGTCACGAAATGAGTTCCTGTTATTAGTCGGCAATTTTAAATCAGATCCAGTTCCGGAATTGCAGAAGAAATGCTTGATTATAGGATTTTGACATAAAATGACTGTCATTCACCCATCTGGAATCAGATCATAAAACAAATGTGTGTCCAATATAATGTCTGATGTATGTGCGAAGTTTGAACTTGATCAGCCTAAGCATGTGTGAGATATGGCTGGATAGGAACTGATGCACATATGCATGAAAGTCAATCCATAAGTCCCTGTTATCGGACTTTATCAGAAAGTGGACTAAAAAACATTAACCAGGGTGAAAAAAAACAACACAACATGACACAACACTACACACGGGGAGCACTTACCTCTTTTTTGGCATATCCACCGATAGATCATAAAACTGTTCTGTTTTAGTCACCACTTCATTACACTGATTGCACGTAATTACATGACACACTTCAAACTCAAAATTCTGTGTTACAGGACAGCTGTGATATACAGGTGGCTTGTCATCACCTGTAATCTTGGCTTCAAAGTCTTCTTTCATATCGTTGTTCAGTTTTTCAACATCTTCTTTGAGCTGATCCAGACACTGACCCAGGAATTCATGCGCATCCTTCCAAGAGGAAAATAAATCAAAATTTGGAAAGTAATCATTAATAGAACATATGCTGGTTTTTGCTGCATGTGATGTTCTTGTTTTATTACATTAGCAGGACTGCTAATGTATTTAATTACATGAACAAAAATATATACTGTAAAATCTGTATTAAAAGCCGCGGCATCAACTAAAATGGTACAATACAACAGATGGGGATGTGGCTTCTATTAGAGCATCTACACATATGAGAAATGGGGTCTCAATTGTTCAAAAAGAATGGGTGCAGCTTCTATTAGGGATGCAGCTTCTAATACAGATTTTTCGGTAGTTTTAATAATGTTCTTCGATACTCTGCATGTTGATGTCCAAATCTGATTTATCGTAGCGTAATAGTTTCTTGATGATCATTGAAAATATTAAAATGCAAATACAGTGATTGTTATTGTTCTATTAAAAGAATCATCATATATGCAGATAACAAAGGAAATTGTTTCATCAAAAAAATACTCAGTTACGTGTTACATTAACATAATTAGTATTTAGATCATGATAGATCATAATGTAATGTCATCAATGAAATATCAGAAAGAAATATTGAGAATTATATATCCATACAACATTTTTTAAAATTTGGTTGACATGACAACATCATTTGCATTTCCCAAAGAATTTGTGATTACATACACATTTAGAAGATTGTTTACAGCAAGTCTCATACTTATGTTTGGGAAGAAAGTTCAAGGGTCAATATAGAAGTCTGCTCATCAGGGACAGATGGACAGACTTCTATATCTGTCCCTGATCAGCAGATTTTAGCTGGAATAGGTAAATGTACAAACTGTCTGTCTCTGAGGACAGATGATTTCAAGTTTTTACTAACTGACCAAATTAGGTAGTTTGACTTATGAAATGATGAACAGCCAAGAATTAACATTTTATTTAAAATAATAAGTCATCATCAATTAGGACAGGCACTTTTATTCTCCCAACCAGTCCAATAGACAGGCAACCTTAATTCAATTTAATATCAACCCCCGAAGTTTGACTTGCTCACTAATTTACCAACGTATTCAGTTTGGGAACAGCAACTGATAACTCTTATCATGTATTTAATATTTACGTGTCCATAATTGTGCTTGTAATTTCCATCATGACCACAGTAACATTGGCATTTCCAAAAAAGGCATAACACTATGGCACTAGCCTACTTTCTATTATTACAGAAATATACAAAATTGTTCAAAAACTACTTTACAGTATATGCCCTATTGGAAGCACATAACCCTTGGGATAATTTACTATAATAGGGTGTGTCTACATTGCGCATTAATATTTGCATATAACATTAGCACGTAACAAAGATTGTGATGAAGGAAAGAGTGGTACATGTATAAAGAAAGATCAGTGATTACTTGAAATTGATACCAGGAGGGGGGGGGGTGGTAAAAGAAAAGTTATACAACATTTTATTATTTAATAATTTATTAAAATACACAAGTTTGTCCAACTCCCTGTGCACATAATATAAAATTCATTCGTTGTATGTATTATTGAATCATTAAAATAATACTCATTTTGACCACAGAAACACCTCTGTAATTTATTTACACATATTAATCGAAAAAATACACTGATGCATTCTGGGAGAATGATACTAATACTCACATGCTGCAGAAAACCTGAAAATCTTTCAGCACTGGAGGAGATTGCCAACTTGACACGTTTTAATAAAAGACTTCTTTCATCGGACAACATCAGTTTAGAAGATCTTCTCACAGATAATAAATATGCGAAGCATCTATCAAAGAAAAAAAAATATGCAACCTAAAATATTTTGGTAAATTGTCAACATCTTATTTTGAAAAAATCTGTTGAAAATTGGGAAGTCACTTATTACAGACTAATAATGAGTTGGCATTACAAGCTGCGACTTCTATTAAAATGGTACAATGCAACAGAAGGGATGCACTTTCTATTAGAGCATCTACACATATTTATCTCAATTGTTCAAGAAGGATGGGTGTGACTGATACCCATTTTACGGTACATAATGCTATAAATCTAGCGAACTTCTCATGGGCGCTATACATGAATAACCCTGGTCACTGGACAAAATAAATAAATCTATAAAAACCATCTTTAACCCCCTTGGAGAAGAGGGTTATAGCCAGAAAACAGAAAGTGATGGAATTTAGACGTGTTTTATATACAATTAAAACAAAATATTTGTATAAATTTTTGTAATACATTTGGAAATGAGATCCATCATGGATTGTGTCAGGCAGTTGTAGCGCCCATCCCGTACAATAGACAAGCAACTTTCAATTCGTACAGAGACTAGCAGCCATTATTGGAATTGACAATATTACGTACCTGTAAAGACTGGTTTTGGGCATTTTTTTGAAGATATCACCATTTAAGACATCGTTAGCAAATGTTTCCAAACCGAACAAAGATTGTAAAATGGCATTCATATAACATGTATTTCCGAGATTGGAAAATCTACAGAGAAGACAATTGACATGATTATGAGTCCACACTAGATAACCTGACATAGTGTATATTACCAGGTATCAAAGTCGCATACTTTCAGCTTATAAATTATTGATAAAAATGATATAAGGTTATTACGAGAATACCTCAAAGTATGCACGAAGACAGTATAGCTGGAGTATACGCCGACGTGCAGCGTTACTGTCTGAGTGCATACTTTGAGATATCTTCGTAATAACCTTATTATTATACACTTTTCAAGGATACATCATGGGAATGCCAAAATCCAAAAAGTTTAGAACAAAATCAGCGAACTTCTTTGTGTGGAGTCGGTCAAACGCTAATGGCAGCCATGTTTTTTTTTATTAAAGGATGCTTACACGCTGTAACTTATGCTGTTACGGTGACAGATGTATAATAAATACATATACACTAATATGAATCAGAACAGTAAGACAATTAGAAGTATAATAAAAATATTTTTAAATTGAAAACAAATGAGATAAGTTTTTACTGACCCTTGCAAACTAACTTGTGATGTTTTATTTGTCACCAGTTTATTTTTGTTGCCCCATCCTTCATAGTTTTCACTAAGTCTTTGACTTTTGGTGAGGTGTGAAGGATCAGAGAGAAATCCTAGTGGTCGACGTGACTTCACTGGACTATTCCTGAAATAGAATTATGATAATTACTATTATCATTAACCTAAACTCTCTACAGATGTAACCATTAACCCTCCTTTTTCAATGTGACATTTGACCCAATCCCCGTCTGTCAATTTTAACCATCCTTTCCCACATATGGTGTGACCTCCAATGCCTTCACATGGGATGAGATTTCAATCATTTCAGAGGTGGTGTGACCTCCAACCCCTTCACATGAGGTGAGATTTTTACCATTTCAGAGGTGGTGTGACCTCCAACCCCTTCACATAAGGTGAGATTTCAATCATTTCAGAGGTGGTGTGACGACCTCCAACCCCTTCACACGTGGCGAGATTTTTACCATTTCAGAGATGGTGTGACCTCCAACCCCTTCACATAAGGTGAGATTTTTACCATTTCAGAGGTGGTGTGACCTCCAACCCCTTCACACGTGGCGAGATTTTTACCATTTCAGAGATGGTGTGACCTCTAACCCCTTCACATGGGATGAGATTTTTACCATTTCAGAGATGGTGTGACCTCCAATCCCTTCACATAAGGTGAGATTTCAATCATTTCAGAGATGGTGTGACGACCTCCAACCCCTTCACACGTGGTGAGATTTCAATCATTTCAGAGGTGGTGTGACGACCTCCAACCCCTTCACACGTGGTGAGATTTTTACAATTTCAGAGGTGGTGTGACCTCCAACCCCTTCACATAAGGTGAGATTTCAATCATTTCAGAGGTGGTGTGACCTCCAACCCCTTCACACGTGGCGAGACTTTTACCATTTCAGAGATGGTGTGACCTCCAACCCCTTCACATGGGATGAGATTTTTACCATTTCAGAGATGGTGTGACCTCCAACCCCTTCACATAAGGTGAGATTTCAATCATTTCAGAGGTGGTGTGACCTCCAACCCCTTCACATAAGGTGAGATTTTTACCATTTCAGAGGTGGTGTGACCTCCAACCCCTTCACATGAGGTGAGATTTTTCCCATTTCAGAGGTGGTGTGACCTCCAACCCCTTCACACGTGGCGAGATTTTTACCATTTCAGAGATGGTGTGACCTCCAACCCCTTCACATGGGATGAGATTTTTACCATTTCAGAGATGGTGTGACCTCCAACCCCTTCACATAAGGTGAGATTTCAATCATTTCAGAGGTGGTGTGACCTCCAACCCCTTCACACGTGGTGAGATTTTTACCATTTCAGAGATGGTGTGACCTCCAACCCCTTCACATGTGGTGAGATTTTTACCATTTCAGAGATGGTGTGACCTCCAACCCCTTCACATGAGGTGAGATTTCATACATGTATGATTGTAACTGTAATCATTGACCCTTTCTAAACGTATTGCATAACTTAACAATATACACCCTTGATGACATTGGTACAATAACAATACCATACCTTAGTGATAAAAATGTATTATTCCGTCCATAGTTTACCATCTGTTGTCCACGATTATTGTAAAATCCACCAACAGCCAGTTTAGGTGCTACAATGTATGGAGAAAAAGTCATTGCAACATTCAGACATTGCGTTAACCACATATTGTGCTTCCCGAACTCCCAATATTAGAGAAAGAGACACATATATATTGTCAATTCATTTCATTTTTGCATCAGGACTCGCTACGTGAAACTAACTGTACATCATTATATATTTTCACTATTTTGATGTTTTGAGCATATACATTATCTTATTTTCCCGAATTTGTCAAGAAAACAATGAGTTTTATTATTATTTAACATGTTCACATAGATTTAATTTAGTGGATTTTATTAATCAGCGAAAATAGCAAAATTAAAACCCAGTAAATAATTAATGCATTTACAGTATGTGAATTATATATATATTATCACATGCATTTTTTCACAATAAAATTTATATAAGCCTGCAAGCTCTGCGTGACCTATAAGCAGCACGTACTATGAATAAAAAAAATTACGTCAGCAAACATTTGAAGACGCACAAAGTTTTTTCAATAGAGGACGTTGGATGAAAGAGGGTCACTACTTACTAGAGGTCGTTGGATGAAAGAGGGTCACTACTTACTAGAGGTCGTTGGATGAAAGAGGGTCACTACTTACTAGAGGTCGTTGGATGAAAGAGGGTCACTACTTACTAGAGGTCGTTGGATGAAAGAGGGTCACTACTTACTAGAGGTCGTTGGATGAAAGAGGGTCACTACTTACTAGAGGTCGTTGGATGAAAGAGGGTCACTACCAGTACTTACTAGAGGTCGTTGGATGAAAGAGGGTCACTACTTACTAGAGGTCGTTGGATGAAAGAGAGTCACTACTTACTAGAGGTCGTTTTTTCCTCAAGCTGCTTCTGTTTCTCATTAAAATCTTCAAGGAAGTGGGAAGATGTGGTAGATGATATCTTTCGTTCCGATAGCGCTTTCCTTTCAGACCGAGGTGACGTAATCCTAATGACATACAAAAGGTTTATGAGACAAAGTGAATGCACAAATTTCCAATAAAAGTGTATATATAAACCCCTTAGCTGTGTATTTTATTTTACAATAGATTTACACAAGCATAAGTAACATACATTAGTGCGATGCTGCGAGAAATCGTCGAAATATCTTCTTTTCTCTTTATGTAAGGCATTGTATTGTACAGTATAAGTTTATTGTGATCCTTCATGTGTTTGTAATATTATTTAGCATTCTGTGTAGTTGATTAACCTTACTGTATCTTAATGTAGTTTATTTTATTTTATTTCTATTTTTATACGACCATAGAACAACTCACTGTAGATTGTTTTAGTGTTGAATGAATATTATTATTATTATTATTATAAGCATATAAAGTAACAGAGGTGTACTGCAGAACACTTAATTTGCGCTTAGAATTGATTTTCGCTATAGAAATGATTCAGTGAATATAAAATCCAGCGAATATACTTGTTTTCTTATATTTTACATTCAACTCATCAAAAAACAGTGAAAATAAATTCCATACAAAACACCCAAAAAGTCTATTCAGCGAAAATTAATTCCAGCTAAAAAAGTGTTTTACAATATCTATGATCAAAATAAGGTATATGTTTAATGATGCAGTGTTCAGTTGTTAGTTTGTGTTCTTCTAGTAGGAATGTGATTCTGAATGGTGGAAATCAGTGTCAGCACTTGGGGGAATTATCCAAAAATATCTGTCCCAAACTTGAGATGACACCACAACAATGGTTGTTAAATTTAATGCTGTGATTGCAAGTACAATGTGTATAATTTGAAACATAGCATTCTGAAGTTTGTGGTTATTATCAAATCATAATTTTCACTAGACCAGCACACTCTAATATAAACAAATGTACTAATAAATCCACCAGCCTCATCACTACAAGAGAAATCTGAATGTATCCTTCCACATGAACACAATAAAGTCCTATACAAACCTGACAATTCCTTTATTTTCTTTGTTTTTCTTGTGTTCGTCTGATGTTTTAGGGGGCACGGAACGCGAGAAATTATATGACATTGGACGTTTATGAGGTGTAAACGTAGTTTGCTGAGGCGAAAACACTTGGCCATTAGGCTCACCCTGCATGAATTGTAACAAGAATAGCAATATATAGTTAGTAGGTGACTTTCCGTTCAACTGCGAGATCTCGTAAGATGCATGAAAGACGCGCATCGAACGTATGCCGCAAAAATCGAAAGATTTGATTTTGAACTCTAATTTCTTTAATTCGTAGCTCACATCGACCGGCCGATCTTCGGAAGAGGAATATTGCTTTTGAATACCCTGACTTAATAGAAATTGTCTATCATCATGGAAATGCCCCCCAAAATATTTCTGCGTTTGTCGAATCCCAAGCGATGTTTGACGCCACTACAACGTTATGACATTTGTTTGTCGTGTTTTTATGTTTGATTTCACGCATAACGCGTGATTCTCGCAGTGAACGGAAAATGATCTATTGGTGTGGTATGTTAAAGCACATTTCATACATGGACTGTAAATTTCTGAAACACTACTTGTAGCAGAAAATAAATGGTTTAAACATTCAAATATTGTATTTATCCGGATAAGAGTCCATGCCTGGGCAAATGCCCCCCCCCCCCCAAATTTTTCCTACACTTGTATAAAAAAAATAACAAAATAGCAAAATAGGTAATTTTACATTTATTTTTCAAGATTTTTTATCAGAAAAGTTTTTATGACAAGACAAAACCAGCTCAAAGCAACTTCAGAGTTAAGTTAAGACTATGCTGCAGATTGTTTTACAGTGAATGCTTACCTTACTGATCATTGTTTTAACTGGAGTCATGGAAGAAAACCTACTAGAGCCTACAAAGAAACCCAAACAAACTTTATTAACATTCATAAAGTCAGAAAAAAACATTTGTCAGAAAGTAAATGTCACCAGTGTAAGAAAAAAATTTTAACAAATTGTAATGATAATTTCAGAATAATAATAAGCCACCTATGCGTGCCAATTTTAGAAAAATAAATTAACCAGAAAAAGTGAAGAAAATAGTTTTGTCTCTGCCTAAAACAGACATGGTGGCTGGAAACTGACAAGGTGACACATAAAGAGCCAACATGACCTCAGATGCCGGACAGAAAAAAATCAATCAACATGCATTTCATTTTAATTTTTTTTTTTTAATTTTTTCCAAACTTCTGATAAAATGCACCCCAAAAAAAGCACACATCCCCTGGTTTCCTCAATTTATTTTGGGTAATCTGCTATCAGGGCCTGTCAAAGTGTTAAACTAACATGTGTAAAAAACTATACTCACCAGGTTGAGAATCCATTTTCAATTCATTCAGGTAGGCAGACATGCCTCTGACAATATCAGGGTTATTCGCTTGATCCAAGTGTATACTGTTACCATTCCTCAAGCAGATTATAATTCTTCGTCTATTAGTACTTGCTTCAGATAAACTTTTAACATTATTTTTCAGCTGAAATAACGCAAAAACTAAAAATTAATTTTGCTGACTCAATTAATGTTGCATTTCAGGATACACAGATGGAAAACTTATAACGATTTGATGGACTTTGTCATATCAAAAGTGCCTTCCATGAGTGAATTACTTTTTCAACTGCAGTTTGAAAATGACGAGGGTATGATGATTGATATTATGTCTAGTTCATTTTTGTAAGAGGTAAAACTGACTAAAATTAACGAGGGATTGACATTTTCGACAAATTTAAGCAACACACAACTTGCGATTTTTAAAATTACTGAAAATAATTACAATATAAATATAAAAAATAAAAGGTTGCTGTATATGCACGCTAGATAATACTTGCAATTCACCATGCCGACAAACCTTATGAAATAGTAATCCCAAATGACGCGCCCCTCAATCAAGTGGCGCTGAATAATTCTCAGAACGGCTGTAATTGCAGAATATGAATTCAATTCTTAAATAAATTAAGTTATCGGTAGATTTGTAAATAGACATACCAGGGATTTTTTTAAACAAAGGAACTGGGGTTCAGCGCCCCCATGCGATGGCCAAGGAAGCCATAGAATGCTCCAATTTAACTTACAATTATCAAAAACTCCACACCCTGGTAGGGAGATCTTTTTTTCTAGAAAAAAAACTGAATACACTCACAAAAGACTGTGTTTGTTTTGATTACGTAGGCTTTTCAGCACAGACCAGTACTCATTTTGGTTGGCACTGTCCATATATTCAAGTTTGGACACCAACATGTTTTTATATTCTCTTTTTTTTATATTTTATAAGTTTTGTATAATGCTTTTTAAGGGTATAATATTGGTGTTTGATATATGGGTTGGTTGGTTGTTTTGTTAGCAACTTAGAGGTACATGTACTAATTAATTCCCTTTTTATTGTAGAAAACGACTTATCAAACCATTGTTGTTTTTGATAACAAATAATAATAACAAATTTAAAAAATCCTTGCCGACCAACCGACCAAGAATTTTATCAGACTGTTACTGAAAACATCAAATTTTGTTTTTATTTGGCCTTGAGGGACTGATGAACCTGGGTGGTGTTAGCAGGAATTGTGTTTATATTCTGTATGAAAACATAGAACCTCTTATCATAAAAGCTAATGGGGGGACTGTTGGGGAAGCCCATGTTTTTCATGATTATATAATGCTCCAGTCAAGCAAATCAATCCATCAGACCTCACTATCCTTGAGTGTGTACCAGCACCTATCAAGTTTGCTTGTTTTTGGTTGGAATTTGTCCGATGTTCTTGTCCCAAGGAGTGGGAGGCAAGCATTCAGAATATATCAAAAAACTAATTTCCAAATCACGTACAAAACACAGAGGTAGGGTGGCAACGAGTGGATAGTAATAGTATTTATTAAAATTGGTGTTGGTTTGCGATTCATAATGTCAGTCAGCCGAAAAACTATAATTGACAGATTCTCTAAGACAGACCGGAAACGGAAACGAGACAAAAACAAAAGATTTTTCAAGTTAGCGTGGGGGAAATAACGTTGCTAAATATTATCGTCAAGGAAAGCTATTGTTTAAGCTAGTCTGTGATTGGTTGCTGGCAATGTTTGGGGGATTTTGACCAGTTTGTGACGTAGGCTTGTCTTAGAGGTTATACCATGGAAGGTACCTTCATAGCTATATCATTATCAAGGAGCTAAAAAAAGAGAGAGAGAGAGCTCCATTACTATCATAACGGTATGTATTATATGAATTATGTACCTTTTCGGGGGAAAAAACTGATGACATCACCGGACTCACTAACAGGTATAAACATTAAGTTACTAAAACACTACGTTTATGTTTTTGGTTGTTGTTGGCAGCTGGCCAGGAATGTTGACATCCTTGGCGAACACAGCTCAGACCTCAGGGTCATTCAACATCGCAATGACTGAGTGCTATATGATTTAACGATTATTCGAAAAGTTAGGAAATCATGACGTACCGGATATGTCTTTTGCGTCCCAAACTTTGGCTTGAATAATATAAAAGGTGCTCCCCTCTCATTGAAGATGTGTATGTCGCCTTCCTTCCATTTCGATTGTCCATGGTCGAGGCCAGTGTGCTTCACTTTTCCGCTAACGCGAAACATTGCGCGTCAAATTAAAATTAATGTTCGTCACACAAAATATGACACTCTAATCGTTACCATCTAACCTTACATGTGTGTAGTAAAAAACGAAAGTTAACATCGACGTCAGCTGAGTGAACTATTTTTTTTATCGTTACACGACGCGATGTTTACATCTTCTGCGCTCCGCCATTTTGAATGAGAATAAAAATGGCGGGAAATAGATGACTCAATGACACCGTTAGTTGGCGCTGTTTTAATGGCCTGCAGACTGAGCGGTGGGTGCTGAGTTGTTATCACAGTCTCTCCACACCGGTGTTGAGGGACTGTGGTTGATGTACAGGGAGAGTTAATTTAAAAAAAGAACACAAATTACACAAATTATTATGATATCATTAATTACGCAATTATACTTTTATTTTTTGCTATGGTGAAAATAAGTTTTTTTGAAAACGTTATTATGATGTTTACAAATATAATTATGCAACGTATTTTTGTGACGTCATAAAAACGATCTGAAAAAACATGAAATCAAAACATTATATAATTACGTCATTATAACGTAATTTTCTACAATGTATTTATTATGTTATTAAATATCAGTATTGGACTATCATTACATAATTTCTCATCAATGTTTTTACATAACGTATTTATAATGTTTTTATTTCAAACGTTATAATAACGTAATAAAATGAGGCTCAGTATGAGCTATTTTAAAACATTGATGATGCAATTTTGTACACTCTTATTATAAGGCCAGACTTTTATTATCCCTTGTTTCGCGAACCCGCCGAATGGCCAAAAATTAAATAAAAATAAAATTTAATTTCAGCGTAATTTCTTGTGTCCGCCGACTTGTAAGCGCAAAAAATTGCTAAAAAAATATTATTTTATCTTCATTTTTTTACCGCCCGCCACATGACAAATCCGAGTTGCATTTGCGTGGGAGTATCATGATCAAAGTATCGAAGTCCCGCGCAGATGAGAAACAAGGTTATACATAAAATAAAATTTGATTTCATTTCTTCTCTCCGATCAATGATCTCACTTACAATTCTTTGAGAATCTCACAAATCTAATGGGAAAAAAAAAAGAATCTTTTTCCGCCCTCCTCAAAAAAATTGCCTTATAAAAACCCGTGAAATAATATATAACAAAAGTCTGGCCTAATGGTCTCAAACAGAAACGTTATTACAGCATAATTCTATTCAAATAACAATTTTCACAAAACTGTTATATCATATATTATAGAGGGACTGTGATTAGTGTTTTGTAACGACTTGCCTTTTTCAAAATCAAAGTATATTGAAATCATGATCTTCGCATAGTAAGTGGTCAAATAGTTGTATAATCTATACAGATTGTTCTCTAATATTAATATATATGATTCAGACAAAGATTTTACTCAGAAAACTATGATTATTCAAGCTTATCAATCAGAAAGATGGTTGCTACGCAAGGCAGAGACCGGCCATTTTGAACTTGCAGGCAATTTTGTTCTCCCCTGTGTTGGTGTTTCGGGGACATATTGTATTTGAATGAACTTACTTTTGTAACATTTCTTGCTTTGTTTGCGTTTCAGAATAATGTTGTTGGAAAAGGAAATTAAAGCGCGGTGGTCGTCGTGCAGCGCGTGTTCGAATTGCATGTAAATAAACAATGTATTTTACACGCGTTGTATACGTCGCTATGAGTCCCATATCGAACAGGACGCGGCACGACGACTGCCGCCCTTTAAATGATAATATGTCCGAGTGCTGCTGCCAAAAAATCAAGATTTTTTTTGACCTAATCACAAAATCATTGCTCCTTGCATAGATAATAGACCGAGTTATTAAGTATGTGTAAGGTTTGAAAAGAATTGATCAAGGTATGTCTGAATACAGCTTTGTACTCGCACACACAGACGGACAGACAGACTCACACACAAAGGCTATATGTTCCTGCATCTGATTGAAGAATAAAGCCCTGCTGAACTCCTCCCGTCATGAGGGCAGCCTGGTAATTAATTGTTAGATATAAAACACTTCAAACAATAAATAGGTCTGTTGATGACATAAATGAAAACCTGAGCAGTTGTGTACAAACCAGTTTAATCTTCATAAAACAGTACAGCCTGACAAATTTAATTTCCTGTAAGGACGCAGTTTTGTTTCTCTGACAAAAACAATAAAACACAGTATCTCAAACACCAGCTAATATGTAAGAAACATACAAGAAAAAGATTACGCTGAATTGTATTATATAATTTGTCATTGAAAATGCTCATTTGCATAACCAATCATTGCATGTTGGGTTAGATAATAAAAGAACCTTATCACCACCAGACTTTCTCGTCCAAATTTTTCAATACTTTTTTCTCATATTCTCAAATATTTCTGGAAATGAATCCTAATTTTGGAGCCAACAGACAAAATTTGGGTCAATTTTTAGCTTTTACTCAAAATATTTGGCTATTTCTGTCCCAATTTTTTAAAGGAAAGTGCAGACTACAAACAGGACTATTTTGTGAATTTGTGATGAAAAGAGGAAACTGATGGTGAAAAGGCTAATGTTCTGTGAAGTGATGTACAGATTGATGTGCATACCACCAAGTACGTGTACAATAATTGTATGACCTCAATAATTTATGTATATTTTATTGTAAATTTATAAACATTATCTCATTTTGGGGCGATTTTCTGGTCTGTACACAATAAATGGGACTGTATGTAGATTTGCAAGAATATAAAATAAATTTTTATCAAAGATATCAAATGAACAAGGGTCTCATCGCCCCCCCGACCTATACTATTGTCAGCTGTATAGTCATCAGAAACAGAAATCTCCTCTTCATATTTTCATGAAAAAAAAAATGTTATCCAAGGTAATACTGTGAGATAGACCATTCTCTTTTCACTGCGAAATCCCATGTGTGAAATCAAATGTAAAAAGTCATAGCATCGAAGTGGTGACAAAACATTGCACTTGCAAACGCTGAAATAAAAGTACTATTCCCTCTGTGGATGATTACTATTTTGACATGAGCAGGTGAATCAACCGTGCTGTGCATGTCACGAATTTGGCCAGATCTCGCAGTGACTGGGTAATCACATTATACTAGGTATCTACAACTGTACATACTGGTAATGTTATTTAATGTAATCGACACACACACAACTACACTATATTAATCACACATGGATGGAAAGTCAGCGTCATTTCATTTATTTTTTCAGTCATTTATTTCCAGTGAATTTTTGAAATCACGATTCTTCCTAAAAAGACACACCAGTTTAAATACTGAGTATTCATATACCAGACCTGAGTGAGAGGAAGCCTGATATTATAAATTGAATGATTTGTACTAAGTTTCCTGAATATGGTTCGGTTTCGTGAAATATAATTTTTAAAAAGATCCAATTTGCAAATGGTCGTCTAGATCTTATTTAGAGTAAGAAAGCCACAGGACTTTTTTTTCCTCCGCTAAATAATGTTCCATTCTTTACTGTCACTATCCGTTAACCATGGAAACCAAGATATATGGTCAAGAGGACGTGATCGCAACAGCGGATAAAAATCATATCGCTCTCTCCCTCTAAACAAGATCTCAACATTCGTTTATGAATAAGGTGTAATGATTTATTGCGATGTGGAGTCACCAAATTCAGATTTGTATTGAAAGTTGATATCTAAGAAAGGAGTCTTCAAGTGACGTCTAGCAGTGGGAAAGCTGGAACAACTGTTAAGTCAAGTACATAAAACAAAACATCAAGACCAAGCGCTTCCTAAAAATAGATTTTCTGGGGTTTTGAAAACTGATAAATTTTACAAGATAATAGCATTTGCATAATTGCAATGTGCTTTTTTTAGTAGCTTTCGCTGATGCCGACTACTTTTGTCATTCTCTGTTTTGTTATTGAAGTTTAGTAATTAGTAAATTATTTTGTTAATTTTGAACTATATTGATGTAATTTCAGAATGGCAAGTTTTAATCAAAATTTGTGAATAAAGGGTGTATCATTGTTGTAGAAGCGGCAAGACTCGACTCGAGAAGTAAAGATTATTTTCGAATCAACTGGTTAAAGGGGCATACATTGTATGCTGCATTTATTACCAATCTGTTTATATTTTTCAATTCATGTAATATTGAGAGAATTTTAAAGGCGATGGTCGCATCACAGTTGTACACAATGCATGTAAAATGCATGGTTAGTCTACATGAAATTCAAACATGCACTGCGTGACGACCACCTCCCTTCAACTTTTGTGGTACCAAACATAAATGTAAATGCATAGCGATATGTCAAATTACGTACGTTTATGAGTCAAATTTGTGTTAGTGACACCTCTATATAACAGCACCTGCTTATAGTGACCATTATTAGGCAGACCACAAGGCATAACATATAAACAAACTTGTGTTTAAAGACCACCTGTGTTATGTGACAACCCTGTCGGCAATACTTTCGCTTCGCCTTCATTTAGATACCAAAATAATAATTAACATTCTGTTCCAAAAACAATTTTTAATTTCCTTAGGTCAAACTTAGGTCAAATCTGGTTTTGTTGCAACAGTACCATCTTATTTTCTGAACAAAAGTATGTTTTGGCAATCCATGAAAAAACCTTCATATAAAGTCCACCTGTTTATAAAAAAAAAAAACATTTTAATGAAGTCCTTTGGGTGGTTGCTATACACAGGTTTCACATTAATAGCAATCAAAGATAGCTCGATTTTTTTAATTAATTAAAATATAATTTTCTATTCTAGTAGCTGCTTGCACATGCTGAGAATAAACATTCTACCATTTCACTTGTGTATTCAAATTTGGCACCATGAAATTAATTTGGGTCAATATTAAACAAATTAAAAAGTATGAAATAATTGACAATGTACGCAGTTCACGCCCCCTTTTATTGTTGTGGTATAATATTCTTGTGGGTTCTCAGAACCTAATAGTTTGTGAATGACTTGGCAGAACAAAAAAAACAAAAACAATCATGGAATAAACGGCAGACTAGTCTTCTAGGTCTAGATCATCTAGTTCTTCGTCTAATTCTGCGTCAAATAATTGTTCGTCAACCGCTACATCATCTGTAAATAATTGTTCATCGATTTGCACACCGTCCAACGACGGATCTTCAACTGGCGTCGATGATGACGGAGGTAAGGCAGCAGCTTCATCTAATTTATTATTTTCCTCTGAAAATAAAGCATATGTTAAATTATTATACATCTGTCACCGTAATGCTATAACTTACAGTGTGCAATAATTTTGTGGTATTGCACTGGGTATTTTCATTCTACCATATAAGGAAATGCAAATTCCAAATATGAAATGATTACGCACATAAGCGTTCTGTAATGATAAAAACAAACATGGCTGCAACGAGGGTTTGACCGGACTCCACACAAACAAGTTCGTTGATTCTCTTCTAAACTTTTTGGATTTTGGTATTCCCATGATGTATCCTTGGAAGGGAAAGATGTATAATAATAAGGTTATTACGAGGATAACACAAAGCATGCACTCAGACAGTAAGACGTCGCATTGACCTCCGCTGCACGTCAGTCAATGCTCCAGCTGTACTGTCTTCATGCCTACTTCGAGATATCCTTGTAATAACCTAATATTATTATACATTTAGTTTTTACCAGTATGCTGAATATTACTTTTATTTACATTCTTTCAAAACATATATGTATATGCATTTCATCAAGCGTTTGCTTTTATTTGAGCAGTCATACATTTCGAATTTATGCATCATACTTTTTGAAATAGGCATCACAAACACTTGTAATTGACAGTAAATAAAATACCCCAAAATTTCAATATAGTGTATTGGTCTTACTTTTGTTGAGAATGAAATCAGTGCTTGATATAAAACAACGAATATTACAATTAGGTTTTGTAACTTACTTGACGTATTACAAATATTGACGATGATGAGCACAAAATCAATCATTAGTTTGTTGCAATATACAAGTGAAATTTAACTTATCATAAGGGAATGATTTGAGGGAACCGAAAAAAATGATATCGGCCATGTTTTGAGTTGACCTAAAACTGTGTCCTTTACTCTGACATGTCAAGTTGGTCCTGAACTGAGAGTACCAAGGAAGGATCTAAAACACAATTGCACTAGTTTGATTTATCTATTTTCCCAGCACTACAAATAAAACAATATACACTGGAATCAGCCTTTCTGAGTATACTCAATGACGTGGTGAATCACTAGGCCAAAAAAAAAAATTTTTTTTTTGCCTTCAGCGACTGACCGAAAAACATCTGGTCACGTTTTTTTTGTTTGTTTTTTTTAATAGGCCCAAATATTAAAAACTCTCCATTTTAAGCAGTAAAAAAGTGTTTCCTTTAAAAATTAACGTTGCTTGATCCCAAGGGTCCGGGGGGTGGGGGGATAAGGTTGATCTGTATTTAAATACAAAAGACTGAAAGAAACACTTTGATTTTTGTGTTTAATATCTAGCATGCGTTTGATTGATTCCCATATACCTTGGCTATTTACGACACCCTTAGTTTTCACAAGTTAAAAAAAAAAAAAAAAAAAAATCTGGTGGACCGACCCAATTTTTCAATTTTCCGACTTGAGGGCGAAATGAGAACTGTGTTATCAATGATTGGCTGTCTCCATGACTTCAGTACAATACCATGGGAATATGCACACACAGACTGACCATTAGGCAAGTCCTGCTGACAACACTTTAGGCCGATTCACTAGTCTATTATTCATAGATATTTCAAAGTCTCACAATCATGAACGCCATCTAGGCTAAACACAATAATAATGCTGCAAACTTACCTTCTTGATTCGATGGTTGTGATGTATTAATATTTTTATCTATATTATTCGTTAATTGTTGAGATTTTCTGGATGTGATGCCGCTACTATCAGCTTGTGTGGCCGAGGCAGCAAGGGCTTCTAAAGTTAACTCTACAGCTTCGACATCCTGCAACAACAAAACATGCATCCAAAGATTATGACCATATTTTCTTCATTACGATTTCTAGTTTGCAATAATATAAAAATTGATTGCAGTTGTTCAAGAAAAATATGGTCACAATTCTTTCAATTGTGGTAACCATTGTTTCTACATGGAATTTAATTTTTGCAAAGTGACAAATAATTCATCATTTTTTTTTTTATGAGCTACAGTTTCTGTTTTTGCTTGTTTTTTGTTTTTGTTTTTTAATTTAGGGTAATTAATATGCATAGATTTCAATCAAACAGGACTGTGCATGGTCCTAGATCAACTATGTACAAAGTTTTATTAAAATTTAACATAGTTGTGTTATGAGCTATCGGTGGAACACACGCACAGACTGTGTGATAACAATGACTCCAATTGTGTGCTATAAAATGTTCATGCCCCTTTGATAAATAAGATACGATCAGTTTAGAAGACACTGTTTCCATGGCAACACAGATCACTTAAACCAAGTCATTGTCAATGATGGAGTTTGTATTTGACTGAATTGCCTTGTGAGAACACAAAATTAACGAATTGACAGAAATTTTGATGAATTTTCAATATTAAAATGCAGTGTTCTCCCCAGCATTCAATTTGTGTGCGGGGCCCGCCACGCTGCTTTCCCTGCCTGCCACTGTGGTCCTGAGCCGCCACGGTGATTAGTAAGACCGCCACAGTGCTTTTTTCATTGTTCATCCTGTGAACTGTATTACGAAATATAGAAAGAAATACGTAGCTATCAGGGATCTTGCCACGCTTCCGACCAGGACTATTGTCCGACGTACCGACCGACACGCATCCTGCCAGTCGTGGATTATAATTTGTAATCAATAGACATAGTCGCACGATGTGGTAATGGCTTATAAACAATACAAGTTAATTTTGTAAAATTAGCACCTCTTTGTTCGTAAGTAAATACTTTGACGATCGACGCAGTCTTTAGATTGAAAGCTAACATTTTGCAAAATCAATT